GCGGTGTAGGAGGCGAATGTACTTAGCTAATTTCAAGGGTAGCTGACTGACATTCACTGTATGTAGACTCTGCATGTGCTGTGCAGCAATCCACCAATCACATTCGTTCTTTATTCAGTTGCCAAGCAGACTACCCTGCCAGCCGTCAATCAAGATCAGAGCGGAGGAAACCACGCCCCTTCACATAGAGTCACTGGCGCTGCCGGTGTTGTTCCGATAGACACATGCCCGCCGAGAAATACTTTGGAAAAATTACTCATCACTGTTTAGCCCCACAAATAAGAACTGTATGGGTTTTAAATTGGACATTTCCATGGACCACTCTACTATAAGCGGTGCGCAATTCTGTGAGGTGGATACAATTCTCGGCAGACACGTGTTTCTCAGCACAACACCGGTAACACCAACGATTGTAAAATGAGAAACGAAAAGAGAAAACCGCCAAAGATGAAGACTTGTTGGTAAAAAGAAAAGCAACGTCACTTATCTGGAATTATTTCGGTTAGAAGGATGACGTCACCTAACACCTGTTCTGTGTCCGCAGTGCCTTGCATCTGTTTCCACAATGAGAGATAGCAAGTCCCAGCACAATAAAAGCTAAAAATATCTCTGAGACAGACAGAAGCCATTCTACTAACATTCACTAAAAGAGGGAAGATCAGAGCAGGTTAACTGTCCTCAAGATTTCAGCAGAAAGTCAGATTCAGATCATCTGGTGAAAATTCCTCTTTTGTAAATATTGTAATATAAGCTATATAACAGAGTTGTAAAAAATTGCAACGTTAGTATTTTTCCAATATCAAGCAGCCCTGGTCCACACTCATTTAGTCTCTGAGAGGAGGAGTCAATGCAAAGTCAGCCGTCTTCCTCCTCTACTTCAGTGAGTGCAGAGAGGAGGACAGAGGACAGTGGACACTCAGTTTGACATGATGGACTATAGGACAGGACTGCTGCTTCTGACTGTCTGCTGGACAGGTGGAGATCATCACTAATCTGAGTTGGACTTTTTCACCTCATGACAACAAACTCACTTCAATCTGTTGGTTTTTTTCTTCTGTCTTTTCAGGTGTTGGTGGTCAGACTCTGACTGAATCTGAGCCGGTGGTTAAACGTCCTGGAGAATCCCACAGACTGACCTGTACAGCCTCTGGATTCACATTCAGCAGCTATGGAATGAACTGGGTCAGACAGGCTCCTGGAAAAGGACTGGAGTGGATCTCTTTTATACATGGTGATGGTAGTGGCACCTTCTACTCTGAGTCAGTTAGAGGCCGGTTCACCATCTCCAGAGACAACAGCAGACAGCAGCTGTATCTGCAGATGAACAGTCTGAAGACTGAAGACTCTGCTGTTTATTACTGTGCTCGACACCCACAGTGACTGGAGTCTGCTGAGCAGCTGTACAAAAACCTACAGGAGTCAGAGTCACATGACTGACAGATTCCTGTCGTTTTTTTCTCTTTTGCTGCTCATTAAAATGGTCCCACTAAACATTATTATGTTTAACCTTAAATGAATCAATCAATTTTTATTTATATAACTCCAAATAAAAACAGTTGTCATCCCAAGACCCTCTCTAAAAGAGCAGGTCCAGACCTCACTCACTGTTTGATGAATTACAAATACTAAACCTCTAGAAGAGAACTAATCTGACCCATCTCGACCCAACATGAGTGAAGCACTTAGCAGTATTTAGCAAACCCACTCACTATACTTGATCATAAATATATTTATGAAGCCTTTTCCATGAGTCTGGAGGACTTTATAAGAACCCTTATGAATGATAAGAGCTTATAACAGCTTACAGCAATGTTTATGAAGTGCTATAAGCAGTGAGCAGAATGCCTTATAAAGATATGGTTGTTAATGTATTAAACCTTAATGCAAAAGAATAAACAGCAGCTTTGAAATTCTGTGTTGAGGAAAGATTCACTGTCTGTCTGTCTGTCTGTCTGTCTGTCTGTCTGTATGCAAAGTGATCTTCCTCTCAGTCTGATATAAAGACTTGACATCAGGCTGAGAGTCACAGAAGAAGAGAAGCTCCCATCAGGTCAGCTTCAACACCAACCATGTTCTCTGGAGCTCTGCTGCTGCTGCTGGCTGCTGGATCCTGTGAGGAGCTTTAAACTAATAATCCCATCAGATAGACTGAATAAGAACATGAATGATGGAGATCATGTTGGTTTGTGTTTCCACAGGTGTCAACAGTATTGATCTCATCCAGCCAGACTCCAAGGTTGTTCAGCCTGGACAGTCTCTGACCATCACCTGTCAGGTCTCTGGTTATTCTCCGACTGATGACAACTATGCAACAGGATGGATCAGACAGAGTGAAGGAAAACCACTGGACTGGATTTTTCATCAGTATGGTGGTGGCAGCTTTTACCAAAATAATGCTCTGAAGAACAAGTTCAGTTACAGCAGAGACACTTCAGCTGGAACAGTGACTCTAAGAGGACAGAGTCTGCAGACTGAAGACTCTGCTGTTTATTACTGTGCCAGAGACCCACAACAACACAAACCATCTGTAGAGCTGAACAAAAACCCCTCAGAGCCTGAACACCTGTGACATGAAGCCACCAGAGGAGGAGCCCTCAGACCAACAATCATTTCTACATCAGCTTTTAATGACAGAAACTGTCTTTAAATGAGGTTTAAATATCAAATATACAAACTATGTAGAAACCTCATCCTCATACTAATAAAACTCATTTATTCCTAATTAAATCTTTTTAAGTGTCAATAAATGAAAAAAAAAAAAAACACTTAAAAATAACTCAATTTTTGTGGTAACCCTTTCTTTTACAGTACACTTATTATCAGGTAATAAACTGTTAATTACCTAGTAACAACATGAAATTATCTGTTAGTTACATGATAACTACTAAGTCAATACTGTCTAGTTTTTCTTTATTTCTTTTTTCTGTGCAGCTCCATTTTCGAAAGCTATTTGGGGTTCTTAATTTCTATGATTGACACTTGATACAGCCTATGGGTGTGCAAAGATTGCGTAGCGATACGCTGTTTGGGCCGAGCGACTCACCCGCCGAATGCGTACAACGCTACTGCGCAAGTTGTGGTTCAAGGAAGTGGAGAAAATCCTGGGAATAACAGAGCAATTCGGCTTCAAATTTGTATGATGATGGAGGGTTACCTACCTGGTAGCTAGACAGGATTGACTGAGTAGTTATCATGTAATTACCAGATAATTTCATGTTGCTACTGGGTAATTACCTGTTTCTTACCTGGTAATAAGTGTACCGTAAAAGAAAGGGTTGCCATTTTTGTTTTATAGACTCATAACAAGTTTGAGACACACTGTCTAAAGTTGATGTTTTTGCAGAGTCATGTTTCTGAATCTGCAGTCATTGAGCTGAATCTCTAAACTCTAAAAACTGACAAAAATCACTCACTGTGTTTTTGTTTGTTTTGATCTGAAAATATGAACAAAGTCAGTTTTTGTCCAGGGAGATAAAGACGTGTGTATTCATGAGTTTAGTATCAACAAACAGGAAAAAAGAGAGAGAGCTGTCCTCAATATTCAAAAATATAAAACTGTTAGTTGTAAGTGGTCTTTAACTGTCTGAGTGTCTGCAGTTTCAAAGACCACAAATGAGATTTAAAGCAGAAAAAAGAGGTCCACACTAATTTAGTCTGAGAGGAGGAGTCAATGCAAAGTCAGCCGTCTTCCTCCTCTACTTCAGTGAGTGCAGAGAGGAGGACAGAGGACAGTGGACACTCAGTTTGACATGATGGACTATAGGACAGGACTGCTGCTTCTGACTGTCTGCTGGACAGGTGGAGATCATCCCTAATCTGAGTTGGACTTTTTCACCTCATGACAACAAACTCACTTCAATCTGTTGGTTTTTTTCTTCTGTCTTTTCAGGTGTTGGTGGTCAGACTCTGACTGAATCTGAGCCGGTGGTTAAACGTCCTGGAGAATCCCACAGACTGACCTGTACAGCCTCTGGATTCACATTCAGCAGCTACTGGATGGCCTGGGTCAGACAGGCTCCTGGAAAAGGACTGGAGTGGATCTCTACTATCAGATATGACAGTGCTAGCATCTACTACTCTGAGTCAGTTAGAGGCCGGTTCACCATCTCCAGAGACAACAGCAGACAGCAGCTGTATCTGCAGATGAACAGTCTGAAGACTGAAGACTCTGCTGTTTATTACTGTGCCAGAGACCCACAGTGACTGGAGTCTGCTGAGCAGCTGTACAAAAACCTACAGGACTCTTTTGTTGTTGATAGTTCTCTGGAATAATTTCAGTTCTGATTAAATAAATTATGAAATTGAGAAACTGTGAAATTTTCTTTTTCAAGGACAACAGTAAATATTTATTAAATAACTACAAATGTGTCTAACCACAATAATCCCCCCCTGGATAAAAACAACAGAGCGACCCATCTCCAGAAATCATTCCCAGTGAATGTTATTTCAGTTCTGAAACAGCAGGTGGCAGTCAGTGTCAAGTTTTCCTCTCTTACTGTTCAGAAACACTCAGACCGGCTTATCTCACTGACCTTCACTCAAAGACTCAAACCATTGACTGACTGAACTCTAACACTCACTGTATCATTAGTTACTGACTGCAGAGTCATGTGTTCATCAGTTCACCATCTCATGTTGTTCTGACTCGTTCTCACAGGAGGAAAGGTGAAAAACTGGTTAAAAAAACTCAAAGAGAAAGACTGAAGGACATCTTTGACTGTTGGTGTCTCAGTCTGTCTGAAGTCCACAGTCTCTGTCTCAGAGTTTCATTTTCACATCATCATCATCACCCAAATCTCTGGTGAGTAAAATGCAAATATACATGCTGATGCACCTGACACAGCCGCTCTGCCTGCTCTATATATCCTTCATAATGACCGTCACTCTCATAGGCTGAGCCAAGTCTCCACCATGACAGGGGTCCAAAGTTTCCTCCTCTTGGCTCTGATTTCAGGTGAGTGTCTTTATTGAGCAGCAGAGGAGCAGAAAGTGATCTCTGCATGTCTGCTGACTCCTTGTCCTCTAAAACTCTGGGTCCCTTTCAGCCGCTCAGGGCCAGTCCCTCACCTCCTCAGAACCAGAAGTCAGCAGACCAGGACAACCGGTCACTCTGTCCTGTAAAGTGGAAGGACTTGCTCTGGCTTGGCTGCACTGGATTCGTCAAAAACCAGGAAGAGGACTGGAGTGGATCGGTCGCATCGATAGCGGGACCGGCACAATATTTTTCCAAAAGTCTAGAGGGCCAGTTTTCCATCACCAAGGACACATCGGTTAATGTTGTGTACTTGGAGGTGAAGAGCCTCAAACAGGAAGACTCTGCAGTTTATTATTGTGCTCGAGAGCCACAGTGACACAAGGGACTACAGAGCTGGACAAAAACTGAACTACACTGATGATGGCTGTGTGAGGAGCTCTGGAGAACGTCCGGGCTTTGAAAAGACATTTCCCACTGAATGATGGGAGTTATTCATGAAAATAACTGGACTGATTTCAGTCGATTTCTTTAGGCCGTCTAGACGCTCATCGCTGCAGCAATGACTTCATCATTGAGAAGAAAACCTGACTGTGAATCTGTGCATCCATTCAACAGCAGTGAAAACTCAACTTTACTGTTCAAAAACTCTAAATGATTCAGTCTTCACTTTTCTTCATGACCTCCACCAACTTTAAAAATCCTCGTCTGAACTCTTTCACCTATTTCATCCTGTACAGTTCAATATAATCTGACCAACAAGCACCCTCTTAGATATTGTCAGATCAGGCCCTTTATTCAGAAGCAGTTCTCACATTTCCTTGATGGTTTGTTACTCAAACTCTGAACCAAAAGAGGATCATATCTGTCATTGACAACAGAACTGAGGCCTTGAACCCACCCTCCACTCCATCTGATCAGAGCTCCTGGGAGCCTGATCTGGGACTTGCTCCTTCAAATGAACTATGGTGCAGCAGACTGTGACTGGTGACAGTAGAAACATTACTGTGTTGGACCTTTACCATGTGACTCAGAGAGAATGACGGACTCTGAGTTCATACAACAGCTTCTGTTTCCTTCAGACTAACTGATGTTGTCTCTCACTGTTATTATAAACAAAGGTGATAATCAATGATCCATAGTTACTACAATATCAACACTATCAAAATAGTGAGAACTAAAGTGTTTGTATAGAGGGATGAAGACTAAAGATTTCCTTTATGTGGAAGAAAATAGGGACACTGTAAAATATCAGTTTGTACCTGAAGTTGTGTTTCACTGTGAGACCAAACTGGAGTTAATAATGAAAATGAATTGTGAGAAAATTAAGCAAAATATTATGAAAACCACAAAACATGAAGGTGACATTAATTTTCTCTCTGAAGGGAGGAGTCAATGCAAAGTCAGCCGTCTTCCTCCTCTACTTCAGTGAGTGCAGAGAGGAGGACAGAGGACAGTGGACACTCAGTTTGACATGATGGACTATAGGACAGGACTGCTGCTTCTGACTGTCTGCTGGACAGGTGGAGATCATCACTAATCTGAGTTGGACTTTTTCACCTCATGACAACAAACTCACTTCAATCTGTTGGTTTTTTTCTTCTGTCTTTTCAGGTGTTGGTGGTCAGACTCTGACTGAATCTGAGCCGGTGGTTAAACGTCCTGGAGAATCCCACAGACTGACCTGTACAGCCTCTGGATTCACATTCAGCAGCTACTATATGGGCTGGATCAGACAGGCTCCTGGAAAAGGACTGGAGTGGATCGCTTTCATATACACAAGCAGTTCTTATATCTATTACTCCCAGTCAGTCCAGGGCAGATTCACCATCTCCAGAGATGACTCCAGCAGTAAACTCTACCTACAGATGAACAGTCTGAAGACTGAGGACACAGCAGTGTATTACTGTGCCAGAGACCCACAGTGAGAGACAAGAACAGGAGAGACGTACAAAAACTACTTCCTCTTTTTAACACACTGACAACATTCATAAGTTTCAGGAATGAAAAAGGAGAGCACTGATCAGGTTTCAAAAATCTCAATGGACCCAAAGTTTTTTTTTGTTCTCAGCATCTTTGTTTACACAGTATGTACAAAGACTGTTTTTTTTTATATACAGTGATGTAGATGAAAGTCTTTGCATTACTGTTGGACTGTGGACTGTATTTCATCGGTGGGTCATACATGGAGATCATGTTTTCCGACATATTCAAGTACAAAGTACTCCCCATTATAATTAGATTGTACACTGACATTATTCATGAAATATGATACAGAATCACATCCACATGAAATCTATGAGTGAACAGCTAAAAACCTTTTCCAACTGTATTTTCAGATCAACTCTGAGATCATAAAGTTCATGCTTAGAGTGACGACAGTAAATAAAAACAAGCAACTCTCATTTCTTTAAACATGGCTCACAGAAACTCAAATCATAACTGGAACAGCTTCTGAATGCCTTTACAATAGGGATTACTTATTTATTATTTGGTAATTTATACTTGAGCTACCACCTCATTGTGGTGGATGGGTTTGTGTGTCCCAATGAGGTCAGCTGTAGGGGACTCTATGCCCCTGGTAGGGCCACCCAAGGCAAACAGATCCTGGGGGAGGGACCAGACAAGGTGCAGCTCAAACAGATCCCTTATAATAAAAAGATCATTGGCTAAAACTTTTCCTCATCTGGATATGGGTTAATGGGCCCCTTCCTGGAGGGGCCTGGGTGTGGGGCTTGATATCAAGCACCCAGTGGCCAGACCTGCATCCATGGGGCCCTGCTGGGCACAGCCCAAAGAGGCAACATGGGACCCCCTTCTCATGGGCTCACCACCTGTAGGTGGGGCCACAGGGATTGGGTGCAGCATGAGGCTGAAACCTTGAAAATCCGATCCCTGGCTGCAGAAGCTTGCTCGAGGAACATGAAATGTCACATCTCTGGCAGAGAAGGAGCCTTCGGTGGTGCATGAGGTGGAGAGATTTCCACTAGATATAGTCTATCTCACCTTGACACACAGCGTGGGCTCCAGAGCCAGTCCTACTGTGAGAGGTTGGACTCTTTTCCACTCTGGAGTTGCCACTGGTCTGAGTCGCTGGGCAGAGGTGGCAATACTTATTGCTCCCCACTTGTTGCTCAGTGCCTGTATGTTGGGTTCACCCCAGTGGATGAGAGGGTAGCCTCCCTTTGCCTTTGAGCGGGGGGACAGATCCTGACTGCTGTTTGTGCTTATGCTCAAAACAGCTACTCAGACTATTCACCCTTTTTGGAGTTCTTGGAAGGGGTGCTGGAGAGTGCTCTCTCAGAGGATTTCCTGGTTTTGTTACTTTTGGGACTTCAACGCCCATGTTGACAACAAAAGTGAGACCTGTAGGTGGAGCCGTTGGTAGACATTGGTGTTGAGGGATGCTGTCAAGCTGAAGAAAGAGTCCTATTGGCCCTTTTTGGCCTGTGGGACTCCAGAGGCCGTTGACAGGTACTGGCAGGCGAAGCGGAATGTCGCTTCAGTGGTCACTGAGACAAAAACCTGGGGAACTGGAGGAGTTTGGTGAGGCCATGGAGGATAACTTCTGGAGGCTTTGAAGTGGTTCTGGACCACCATCCTGCAAGCAATGCCTCTTGATTGGCAGTCCAGAGTGGTGGTCCTCCTTTTCACAAGAAGGATCAGAAGGTGTGTTCTCACCACAAGGGGATCACTCTTTTCAGCCTCCCTGATAAGGTCTATTGAAGAGGCCTGGAGAGGAGGGTCCGTCAGATGGATGAAACCTCAGATCACCATCTGTACACACATAGCAGTGTGTATAGATTGTGAAAAAGATTATTGCGTGTTCCACACAGTGCTGCTTTTTAATTCCCTTCATCAGTTTAACAAGTTTGACTCGGCAACAAACTGAAAAAGTCAATTCAGTCATCTGACGAAAACAACATCAACAGGTGATAGATCAACCTGAAAATGAGGCCGTCACTCATCATGAAGTGAAAAGCTCCAACATTTCCACACAGAGTTCAGACTGTTGAACAGACTTCATCAACTTCACTGAATCTTTTGGAAGCTGAAACTGTAATATTACAGTTAGTGTTTGTGAGCTCTAGAGGTCAGTGTAGGACTGACTGAGTCTGGTACCTGAACTGATCAGGATCAAGAACATGCTGAAGGAGGAACACACAGAAAGAGCAGAGAGGGTTTGATGGATCTGATCTGACAATAACAACTGCTGAGGATGAACATTTGTCAACTTTTCACATTGACAAGAAATAGAGAAAAAATCATGAGCAAATGTGTTTTTCTGAATTTAAAACTTTGTGTAACAAGAAAACAAGTACAGAACAAAAATAAAAGTTAATACCTTTAAAGAGACTCTTTTAAAATGATCAATCAAACGTGCTAATGTAAAAATAAAGAAATCATCTGTAGAGCAAAAGTAGAAAAGGCTTGTTCCTCTCTGAGGATAAAGACCTTTGAGCAGACTCTTGTGTTGTCTGCAGTCAGACCAACTCTGCTGCTGCTGCTGCTTCATCTGTTTGATTCTATGCAAACTCAGAGAGCTTCCTTGTTCCTCAGCTATAAAAACTGTCCATCAGGCTGTCAGTGGAGTTCACAGCTGCTCACCTTCAACATAAACCATGTTTTCTGGAGCTCTGCTGCTGCTGCTGCTGCTGGCAGCTGGATGTGAGTCAGTCTGGATCTGTCAAAGTCCACAGTTCTTCTTTTACAGCTCAACTCCATCATTTGGTACCAAACATTTTCTCTTTTTCAACAGGTGTGAAGTGTGAACAGCTGACTCAGCCAGCCTCTGTGACTGTGCAGCCAGGTCAACGTCTGACCATCACCTGTCAGGTCTCTTATTCTGTCAACAGCTATGCAACAGTCTGGATCAGACAGCGTACAGGGGAAGGACTCAAGTGGATCGGTAGAAGAGTTGGCACCTCAACAAACTACAAAGATTCACTGAAACACAAGTTCAGTATAGACTTGGACTCCTCCAGAAACACAGCGACTCTAAACGGACAGAACATGCAGACCGAAGACTCTGCTGTTTATTACTGTGCCAGAGACCCACAACAACACAAACCATCTGTAGAGCTGAACAAAAACCCCTCAGAGCCTGAACACCTGTGACATGAAGCCACCAGAGGAGGAGCCCTCAGACCAACAATCATCATAATGACTCTGTAAACTGTCAGAACTGTGACACATATCTATAGTACAATCATTAAAATAATGTATTTTACTTAAAATAAGCATATCACTCTTTAGTATATATCAATATATTAACAAATAAAAACATGAACAAATATGACCAAAAACTTTTATTAAATTTAATTTCATTGACAGATTATTCATAAGTTTTTTTGTTTTTTTGATTTATATTTACACAAAGATGATTTTTTATTTGAGGAGTTTTATATTTCATCTAAACTCTGTATGACTGAGGTGAAACTGTGACTCCACTATTCTGATCATCTCAAAGTCCTTTAATGTTTAAGGGGCAGTTGTTGGCCATGATTCAAAGGATTCAGACTTCCTAAAGAACCGATCTTACTATGTGGGATGATATGAAAAAATGTCCTTCAGCTGTCTGAAGATTAAACACATCCTCTGAAGAAAACTAAAAAACTAAGACAGATGAGCTGATCAGGAGTTACTGCTGTACAGTTACAGTAAATATGAGGACCTTACTCTCTGATTCATGAAATACAAATGTTTATTGCTCATTCATATATCACACATGTGATCATGCTGAATATGAATACAGTTAAAGTAGAGGACAGAAATGAGATCAATCTCTGTGAAGGGAGGAGTCAATGCAAAGTCAGCCGTCTTCCTCCTCTACTTCAGTGAGTGCAGAGAGGAGGACAGAGGACAGTGGACACTCAGTTTGACATGATGGACTATAGGACAGGACTGCTGCTTCTGATTGTCTGCTGGACAGGTGGAGATCATCACTAATCTGAGTTGGACTTTTTCACCTCATGACAACAAACTCACTTCAATCTGTTGGTTTTTTTCTTCTGTCTTTTCAGGTGTTGGTGGTCAGACTCTGACTGAATCTGAGCCGGTGGTTAAACGTCCTGGAGAATCCCACAGACTGACCTGTACAGCCTCTGGATTCACATTCAGCAGCTTGTATTTACACTGGGTCAGACAGGCTCCTGGAAAAGGACTGGAGTGGATCGCTTATATCAGCACAAGCAGTACTCCTATCTATTACTCCCAGTCAGTCCAGGGCAGATTCACCATCTCCAGAGATGACTCCAGCAGTAAACTCTACCTACAGATGAACAGTCTGAAGACTGAGGACACAGCAGTGTATTACTGTGCCAGAGACCCACAGTGAGAGACAAGAACAGGAGAGACGTTCAAAAACTACTTCCTCTTTTTAACACACTGACAACAACAAGTTTCAGGAATGAAAAAGGAGAGCACTGATCAGGTTTTTAAAAATCTAATTGGAACTTAAGTGTCTTTTTTTTCACCTATCCTTCTTACTAAATCAAAATATTCAAAACATCTTATTCCACACGTTAGATAGAAAACAAAACAAAACAAAACACAACAAAAAAACCACAAAAAAAAATGACTCAGAAAAAAATAAAATAATAATAATCAAATTAAATCCTGAATATTAGTTCATCTGTATTTGTGGATCGTCTGACACATCTTCAATTCATCATCAAGAGCGTTCCATAAATTCATACCTTTAACCGAAGTACACTGTTCTTTGATCTTGGTTCTTGTTTTTATTTTTTCCATCATATGTGTCCCTTGGAGCTCATACCTACGTTCCCATTTTTTAAACATACTGACAATTTTACAAGGCAATGAATTATTATGTACTTTGTACATGGTCTGTGCTATTTTGTAGTCCACCAGGTCCTTAAATTTTAATGCTCTTAATTTAATGAATAATTTATTTGATGGTTCTCTG